TCTACCTGGGTGGGAGTATAAACGAGGGACGCGGCAATGTGAGAGCGAGTGGGGGTTAGACTAATTCGCCTGAATACTGCAATTTTCATGGAATTGTGGGAGTTAACATACCTTCGCACTTAATGGATGTACCCTGTATATTTATAACTACATCATGAGCACAAAATGTCGTGAAAAGAACGAGAAATGACTATAGTTAAAAGATTTGTCCTTTTTTTGGGAAAAAACTAGTCAAAAATATAGTATTTGACAGTTCTGTCTATTCCCCAGCGAGGTTCAAATCCCATTCCATACTTTCACAGTACTTATTAGGGAATCTATAGAGTCACTGGCGAATCTATAGAATCGCTAGCGATTTTACAGATTAGCTAATTTTGTACTTTTTCCACAAATGCATGGTGTTTGAACAGAAAAATAAACACGTAGACTTTGATTGAATCCGTTGCAGGGTTCTACTGTGAAAGTCTTGTAATTTTTTACATTTGTGAGTAGAAAAAAGTCTTGCGAACCTGATGCTCAAAGAATTATTTAATTTGGTCAAAAACTGAGTGAGTTATGAGAGATTAATTACACAAAATATTTTTCATATTGCTCTTTTTGTTCTCTTTTTGTAGGGAGATAGAATACGACACATGCGAAGCAAAGCTGAATGCTAGAGATTTATTCAAATTTTATTCAAATTTATGAACTGATAGAGCTCGACTAGCTGATCAAGAATACTTGCGAGTGATTGTTTGAAAATAAAAAGAGCCATTATTTTTTATCAAAAAAACCACCCAGATTTTTAGCGCTATCTGCTACGATAGTTCACTTTTTACTTACCATTCAACTATCAATCACAAATCATTCTTAGTGCAATCAATAGGAGCTGTAATTAATAAATAAGTTAAAAATTTGGAATGAAATCATGGGGATATTTTTTAACTTTTTTTTTTATGATTTCAATTCAACTACCAACAAAGTTATTATAATCAATAACCCGTAAAAAATGTGACAACAAAAGAGCCATCAAAATACCATTATAGGGTAAAATTATGACTTTTCGAGCAGAAATAAGAGATTCTATAGAAGTCTGGGAGATTCTTCGAAATCAATCGAATTCTTTGAAATTCTAGTCGAAATGTGCAGTATGGAACAATTCAATTACATATCAATGATCAATGAATTTCAAGAAATTTCAGATTTTCATGTATCAAAGAATCAGAGACATAATTATAATTTGTCCAATAGAAAATAATTGTCCATTCTCTCTCTCTTCGTTTTCCTTTATAAACATCGCACTGAATTTTCTCTCCTTTCTCTCGCGTGCCGTAAACTACAAGTGCAAAGGTAAGTCAATATATAGTATAAGAATGACAAAATTTGATTTCGATCAATGATAATACTCTTCTATTGCGCGTCAATTTCATTGTGTATTCTGAATCTATGTATAGGCAGACTATCAAGACAAGCTGATGACAGTTACTGTGACAGTGACCAATCAAGATCAAATGAATTTTTCTTCTTAGTGCTCTTACTCCATCAGAGATCAACAGAAATTCAGAATCACACTATGAGAGCATTCTACAGTGATGTCCATTCAAATGATGTTCAAAACACAGTTTCATCTAGTAAGCTCTTCCTAACTTTTCAATCATACTTTCAACATCACTCGTCAATACGTCCTCTCTTCAGTAAACTACAACAAAACTATCTTCGTGAGGTAATCAATAATAACAGGTGGCTTACTCTCACCTCTCTCACTTCCCCTTTTCTTCGTGTACAGTGATCTCGACCAAATCTAATTACATTGATAATGTTTGAAAGTATGATTGGAAAGTTGGGAAGAGAAAATTAGTTAGGTTGATCATTGATGTGTAATTGAATTGTTCCATACTGTACATTTCGACTAGAATTTATTTTGGAAAAGTATAATGGTATTTTGATGCTCTCTCTTCTATCAATTGCGCTAAGAATGATTTGTGATTGATAGTTGAATGGTAGGGAAAAAGTGAACTATCGTAGCAAATAGCGCTAAAAATTTAAGTCTAAAGTACCCATGTAAAAATTTTATGTCTCTAGCGTTTGAACACATGTTTTCAAAAACGAACGTTCACATGGACAGTTTTTCGATAAAAACTAATTATTGTTTTTATTTCCTCCATGCATACTGCTCGTTTCTGATATGATGTCCAAAATGTGTGTTTGGCCACAACAACGGCGGACACGACTCCCTCACTATTTTTGCAATGATCGAGTGAGGTAAACATACACCAGTGTGGTCGATCTCCTCCCCAAAATGTTTACCGGATCTTTCTATTTGTGGTTCTTTTGTGCTCTCCTCCCCGTCTCTATCAAGAGAAGTAAGGGAAAAACCAGAAATTTTTCTGTAAAAGTCATTTGTACTTACTCAAGCAGACGTTTTCTCGAAAAAATGCCCCCATTCCACCTGACTCCAAAAAGGTTCCTGGATTTACTGCTGCCTCCAAAAAAGGAAACTTTCCAGGAACTTTGTTGGAGAGTGTCGACTAAGGATAAACGGTAGGGCTGGAAAAATTCTCGTTAATACTTCGACCGTTACTGATACGATAACTAAAACACTAGTGAGCGTTGCGCAATACTAATAATAAAGAACAGTTACCGTTATTCCAATGGTGATGAAAAAGTACTTATACTATCCAAAAAAATAGCATTAAAATAACGAGAACTATTATTTAACAAATTCTTGGTAACGATCCGTATAGATTATGGATCTCGACCGTTTAATTGAAAATGTTTGTTGGTTTTAGTGTGCTTTTCTTTCTAGGTGTTGTTTAACTGTTTTGCGATTAGCCAATTCGTACTTCTATTTACCGATCATGTATAATTCAGCATCGTTTTAAAATAAATTTTCTTCAACATACCGGAATAATTGTAAATATACTCATATCCATATTTGCGGTCATGTTGTCCAGTGCGGCAGCTTTTACGTTCAATATATCTTCAACGAAAAGGCAGATGCTCATTAATGCAAAAACATTAAAAATTTCAATTTTTAGGACAAAATTTAGTCTTTTGTGTTACATCTTGTGATACTGTTGTCATACTTGTATTTGAAAATTTAATTAGAAAAACAAATGTAAGTTGACTTTAGCTGATTCTTTTGATAACATTCACTTATTACAGATACCACTGTGTTAACGTTAACTACTTTTCAAGCAGCTAAAAATATCGGGTGCGTCAGAAATAATGACACACTTTATATTTCATGAATATCTCGCTCAGCTTTGATCGTGGAAAGGTGAGATTAGATTCAAAAGATACCCCGTTGAATTCTCTACTATATCAAACGTTTTTCTGTACAAAGCAAAACCCATATATGAAAACAAGAATACTTAACACGTTCAAAAGGACCAACCCAACTTCTTAACCCATTTTTTAAATAATATTTATCATCTTTTTTAGAATTTCAAAAGCAAAAGAAAGAGGAATGAAGATATTTTTGAGTGCCTTAATGTTCTCGTCACGAAGCTCAAAGTTCGTTGCAAGCAAAGTGAAGATCGAAAATTCTGACTTTTCAAAATCCTATTCAAAAACGGCTAAAATCTGATATTTTTCGTCAGATTAATTGATGAAGAGAATTTTAGCTCACCTTTCGCCTCTGAATCTGGTATAGTAGCCATTTTCCATTAAAATAAAGAAAACCCGAAAAAAGATGTCATTTTGACGTACTTATGCTTCTTTTTCTGGGAGCTCCGAAATCGCCGATTGAAACAGCTAATTTCTCGAAAATCTGGAAAAGAAGATGATTGGTGTACGTCGTAAGAATGAACATGCAAATTTTCAAATCATGATTGATCTATAGGCATCATTTTTGCCCCCCTATTTTGTAGCCCTTGAAAAGCTCTATGTTATTTTCTTTTTGTGGTCACTCGCCAAAGAAAAAATCTGAAAAAAACGATTTTTGAGCTTAGGAAGTTTGGAACATCAACTCTCCATGATCAAAGCTAAACGAGATATTCACGAAATACAAAGTGTGCCATTATTTCTAACGCACCTATTACAGCTGGCGTCAAATCAACGAAATGGACGCTTTCTCAGCCATGATGTATGACCCTAAAGCATTCAATCTTTATTATCTTTTGAACATTTTCTTTTACCATTATCTTTTCTTTATCTTATTAACATTTACATCCGTTACGTCTTATATCCAAATGTGACATAGATATAGTTAATAGAATACGAGACTATCCCATTTTGACGAACATCACTTCTATTTCATTATCAGTGTTGTGCAATCGTGGTTGGTCTATAAACGATCATAAAAAAATATCTCGTTATAATAATATCATTCTAATTACTTATTCTTTCATGTTTATCAAACAATGAGGAAAAAATATTTCTATACATAGTGGACATAATCTAAATGTCCAACATTTGTACAAAGAATAAGAAGAAATTGAGATGCTTTATATTCAATATGATACAAGCCACATGATGTTTTTTATCAATCATTGCCGATTTTATGTGTGTTCCTCATAGAATATCTACAGAACACATAAATGTTATACTACTCTTGACAATCGAACAAATAATATTATTTGCAATTTAATCATATACAGAACAAATCGTATAGAACCTTCGAAAAATAACTTTACATCAAGTAAGTTTTGAGTTATTAATAACAAAGTATTTTAAGACTAAAAGTAGAGGCAAAAAGGATTTAGTATCGAATTTTTCTCTTCTCTAGAATAATTTATGTTAAAAATTTTTGCTCTTATTGTCATAATTTTTTGAACAGTTTTCTGAAGAAATGATTTAAACAAGAAAAAATTACATATCTATTTTCTTTTTTCAGCAATTTATTATGATTAGCAACAGAAGTTACGTATCAAAATTGAATATTTATCCAAAATATGAATTATTTATTCGTGAACCCTATATAATATGGATGAAAAAATTTCGTACAACATTAATTTTATTACCAAATTCAAGTCGAAAACGTTTTATTAACGGTATTGATCTAAATTGTGGACATGGTAATTATTATGAACAAGAAAATGTCCTTTCACTGATTACACCTTCAATTAGTCTATCGTCATATGAAAATAATAATAAATACAATGATTTAGACAAAGGATCGCCTGATTTATTATCCGTGAATAGTGATCTATTAAGTACGGATATGAGTTATAATGGTGATGAATCAATAACGGAATGGTCTCGTACTACTAACGAAATGTCCAAAAACAGAGGAGGAATGTCTTATCTTGATTATAAGAATCAATTATTATCAAGATCACCATTGTTCATAAATGAGAACAATATTGGTAATAATACTCATAGATACGGTAATAATACATCTCATATAAAGACCAATCCACCTAATTCTTATTCTTATTGTTCGGATGATGAGTATAGTATGTCTGACACATCATCTTATATTCGTAGCGGATATTCATATCATAAGGATATGAAAATGTAACTGTGCATGACTAATTCCTACGTTCATTTTATAAAAAATAAAATTTATATCATACTAAGCGTCACAATTACAAAAACAATTTTAACAATCACTGAAATCTAATATGACTGGCTCTGATTTTTTTATATCTTTAGCCAAGATACTGTAGTAGTAGTAGTTTATTTCTATATTTCTACATCTTTAAATCATTTTACAAGAAAATTATTATTATAATAACTCTACTGGACGAACACCGTAGACATTTTATGTTCAAAGAAGTCAGAGATAATAGAGGAATTTGTTTTGCAGATGGTAGAAATGAGATTGATCCAACACTCATTTTCAATACTATCAATCGACTTATATTTTGGTAAATTTTCAATTTCAGCGCTACGGATATGATGCCATTGATGCAGAGCTCGATAAACCGGTCTGTTCATCGCTTCCAATTTATTTGGATTGTAGTGTTTGACTGATACTGACTAATATAATTGTGTTGAAGAAAAAAGCCTATTAACCCTTTCGGGACCGGTTTAATTTTTATATATACAGTACTGTTCAAACGTTTAAGGCCTTTTTTATTTTTGCAGTATCTCGGCTTTCCTGACAGATAGAGACTTCATCCTTTCGTCAAAAGAAAGCTATCACTAAA